CCGATCTTTTAATAGATAAATTGATATATATATATATATATATATGTATATATATATATATATATAATGAGTTATTAAATAAAAAGAAAAGGACGAAAGAAAGAAAGTTAGGTGTTAATATGATGTTTAAAAGAATTACGTGTTTAACATATGTTGATAATTTTTTTTTATAAATACTTTTAAAAAATAAAAAATAAAATTAATGTTTTATAAGAGCACATCTTCGTATATGATAGAGAATTAGACATCAAGGCACACCAAATAATGTAGTTTTACGCATTATGCTTCTCTTCATTTTCAAGACTTACACTTTTCTTCATTTACTACATTAATTATTGACTTAGACTGTTGGCTGTTGCCATCTTCCTTAGTCTTCTATAAGCTAGAGGACAAACCCAGAACACAGGATAATTAACAAGTTTTCTACCTCAACAAAACAAAAACTTTTGCTTTGTTTTGTTATTTTATGATGTTGATGCATGGGTATGCATATGCAGCTGCAACAATTGCAGCATTCTTCTGCATCACACACTTCTTCCATCGTAGACTATCTTGCAGACACCCCCTCCTCACAGACTACCCCATCCTTGGCATGCTACCTCAGTTACTCTTCAATTTGTCTCGCGTCCATGATTTTCTCACTGAGATATTGAAAGTTGGCACGGGTGACTTCACTGGACCCTGGTTTACCAACATGAACTATTTGATCACTATTGACCCCATCAACGTGCACCACATCTTGAGCAAGAGTTTCCACAACTACGTCAAGGGACCCCACTTTCGTGACATTTTTCAAGCCTTTGGAGATGGCATTTTCACCGTTGATTCCGAACCATGGAAATACAACAGAGACCTCTTCCACTCTCTCTTCAAACACAAAAGCTTCGAGGTGTTTCTTGAGAAAACCATTCACAACAAGGTTCGGAATAGTCTCCTTCCAGTGTTGGATTATCTACACCAACAAGGGTGTGTGGTGGATCTTCAAGATGTCTTCAACCGCTTCACTTTCGATAACATATGTTCTATAGTTCTCGGAAACGATCCTAGTTGCCTTTCCATTGATTTCCCCGAAGTTGCAATAGAGAAGGCTTTTAACCAAGCTGAAGAGTCCATATTCTACAGACATGTTGTGCCAAGGTGTGTTTGGAAGCTTCAAAAATGGCTTCAAATTGGTCAAGAGAAGAAGATGACAGAAGCATGCAAAACCCTAGATCAATTCATACATGCATGTATAGCGTCTAAGCGGGAAGATCTAAGCATGTACAAGGAAAATGAAAAGGGTGAAGCTCATGTTGACTTCTTAACATCATTGATGAGAGAAGAAGCACACGAGGATAAGTTTCTAAGGGACGCTGTGTTTAATCTTTTTGTGGCTGGTAGAGATACCATAACCTCAGCTCTCACGTGGTTCTTTTGGCTTGTTGCTACAAACCCTTTAGCGGAAGCCAAGATTCTTCAAGAGATGAAGGACAAGTTTGGGACCAATATTGAAAAGTCGTCGCTAGGGGTTTTAAACGTTGAGGAAGTGAAAAAGCTAGTTTATCTCCATGGTGCTATATGTGAATCATTGAGGCTCTTTCCTCCTATACCTTTTGAGAGAAAGCAAGCAATTGAAGCTGACATGCTTCCTAGTGGTCATGGTGTTGATCCTGGTACAACCATGTTATTTTTTATGTATGCAATGGGAAGATTAGAAGAAATATGGGGAGAAGATTGTTTGGAATTCAAGCCAGAGAGGTGGATCTCACAGAAAGGAGGTATTGTTTATGTACCATCTTATAAATTCATTGCTTTTAATGCAGGACCTAGGACTTGTTTGGGTAAGGACTTGTCCTTCATTCAAATCAAGATGGTGGCAGCTTTTATTTTAAGCAATTACCGTGTCCAAGTGGTGGAAGGTTTTGTTGCTACCCCAAGCCTTTCTATTGTTCTTCTTATGAAGGATGGTTTGAAGGTTAAGATAACAAAAAGAGAACATTAAGTTGAAGGGGAAGTCCACTCACGGAAGTACAAAAACTTGTAGAAGATAATGTACCATGTGCCTATGTCTATGAACTAGATAACCTAGTGGTGCTGGCTGGCTTGAGATAAATACGAAATTGTCCTTTTAATGTTTCAAAAAAAGGATTATTTCCTCTATTGGGTGTGTGTCTATTTCCGGGATAAAAGTAAATGAATAATTCATACCTTGATCCAAAAAATGTTAGTCAAAAGTAACTTTATTGGCAAAATTTCTAATAAAATAAATACGATATAGTACAGATATTTGAACGAAGGAGATTCGGGTTGAGTGTAGTCTTTTTCGAAGATAAAAGATAGTAATAAATGATTCATTAACATTACTCGAACAATTTTGACTTATTTTATGGTTATACTTGGAAAGATGATAATCAGCAAAAACATTATGTCAGAAAACGATAGACAATATATTTCCTGTCTTTTAGGTGCATGCATATCTTGAGTGGCGCAAATGCAATGCAAATATGCAATCAAACATAAATTTATATGAACAAAAAAAATTAAATTAAAACATTATAATGTAATTTTAGAAATATTAAATATAGAATAAATATTTTTAAATAGTTAAATAAACAAAAGAAATAAAATTAGATTATAAAAAATACCAAATAAAATGGAATACACATATATATATATATATATATATATATATATATATATATATATATATATATATATTTAATCCTTATAAACTATAATATTTTTTGTATTGACTTTTCGACGAGTTAGTCTCTCTACCAGATTATTTTTCTGTGTGCACCAGAAAACTTAATAATGTGTACGATTAGATGATTTTAGTTAAGTTGTAAAATCATAACTTAAGGAAATAATCTCTTTTTATTCCAGTTATAATAATAATAATAATAATAATAATAATAATTTTTTTTAGTTCTGTGTATTCAATATAGAAAATTGTTATATAATTTTTATAATAATTATCTTAAGAGTATATAATAAATTTGTTCGCTTATATTATAATTATTTTAAAAGTTGACATATATATTTATCACAATTTTTATTGATATTATAGAAAAATATTTTACACTCACAATACATTAAGAAATTAAATTATTTTTTTATAACGTATGAGTACAATTATACTAGTTATAGAATGTATTAGTTTTTTTTTATGAGTGCAATTACACGTGACATAAAAAATATTTTTTTTTATGTTGACATAGAAAGCTTGTTAATAAGTTTGAGAATGTAAGACCCGTACGGATTCTTTCTTTTCTCAACCCTCTTCCTCTCTAAACTCTCACTCCCTCATTCTCTTATCTCACTCTCAATCCTCCCCCTTTTCACTTAGACCTTCCTTTTTCCTGCTACTAGGTGGTGGAACTGAGTGAAGTGGGTTGCTAGCTGGTGTTGAAGTTCTCTATTCTCCTTTCCCGTGTTCAAGCTTCCTTCGTTTTCTCTTTGGGTTCTCCCCGACGCTTGGATTTCTTCATACCGAGGTAAGGGAAGTTAGTATTTTGGCTGCGTTTTTGGCTGGAAAATGGGTTTAGGAACTCATTTGGTTGCTGGTGATTGATTGTGTTTGGCTGAGTTGCTGGAAAAATTGGGGTTTTGGGGTTTTATGGTTTTGAGTCAAAATTTGGGATTTTTCTTTGATCTGTAGTTGCATGCGCATAAAGCTGGTACTTTCGAGCTTCTTGATGAAAATGTGGCACTTTGAACCGTTTGCATGTGAGTTTTCTGTGAAATTTTGCAGGTTTTGGAAATTTTTTGAACCTGGGAGAGTTACTGATGAGTTCGCGCTGGGCGCTGTTCTTCGCGCCGGGCGCGCGACCACCAAGAGACTTTGTTTAGGCAAGCCCGCCGGGCGCAAGGCTATGTGCGCTGGGCGAGCTTGCAAATGGGAGTCTCTAGTTGGCCCGCGCCGGGCGTGACTCGAGCTGCGCTGGGCGCGATATCAAGAGTAACATGTTTTTGGGATACTTAGGTCGTGCTATAGGCGCACTTTTGGACTCGTTGGGCATGGAGGCTCCTTGGGAGTCTCTGCCAAGAGCATGCCGGGCGCAATTGCGAATTGTGTTGGGCGCGAGACCTTGGTAGGTCTCTGCCTTCCCCACGCTGGGCGCGGGCTAGGCCCCACTGAGCGCACGAGACTCCTTGAGTCTCTGCTAGGCAAGCGTTGGGCGCAATTTGGAATTGTGCCAGGCGCGGGAGAGCCTTGGTGCTCTCGGGTTGAGTCTCACTGGGCGCGAGTACTCCTGCGCTGGGCGCGTTGGTCTTGACTGAGGTTCGACAACCTTTTAAATTATACTACAGAGACTTGGGTGCGCTTGCCTAGAACACCAACAAGTACTTGGCGCCGTTGCCGGGGACTTGTGTCAAGACAATTTGTGATTTCTATTGTTCTAGTTGTAGCTTGTTGTATATATTGTTTTGTTTTTATTTTTGTTAAATATATTCTTTACCTGGTTGTTCTAACCTTTCTGTTTAAGTCAGTCTTTGTAGCTTACTGTTTAAGGCAGGAACAGGAAGGTACTTCCACCTGAGTTTCAGCTCAACACTCTACTCCTGAATCAATGGCTGAAGAAGGACCGGGTGGTGATAGACCTCATCATCCTCCAAGGAGACTCCTAGGAGAATACAATCATCAGTTGGGTCCTAGGCACTTCTCCAGTATAGCCAGACCAACCAAGGGGGTGGAAATGAAACCGGCACTATTATCTCTCATAACTGCCAATCAATTTGCAGGGATGGACCATGAAGATCCCTACACACACCTATCTTATTTCTATGAGCTTATTGGCACTATGGGCGTTCCTGGAGAAGATGAAGAAGCGGTATATCTACGATTATTTCCTTTCTCTTTGACAGGTAAGGCCAAGACATGGCTGCAGGCCCACCCAAATCAAAGTTTGACCAGATGGGAGGATGTAGAGCGGAAGTTCTTGGCTAGATTCTTTCCTCCTTCCAGATACATAAGTGCTAAATCAACAATTGCAACATTCTCTCAAGGTGCTGATGAACCTTTGTTTGAAGCTTGGGAGAGATATAAATCCTTACTAAGAAAATGCCCAAATCATGGGTTTGATGATGTTGCACAGCTTAACATGTTTTGTAATGGGTTAAGGTCGCAAACAAAGATGTTATTGGATGCTTCTGCAGGTGGTTCTATGATGATGAAGGATTCTGAGGAAGCAATCACTATTATTGATGATTTGGCAGCCAGTGATTACCAAGCTCACCATGATAGGAGCCAGCCCATAAAAAGGGGAATTCTGGAACTGGATACTCAAAATGAAATTCTAGCTTAGAATAAACTCCTTTCTCAACAGATGGAAGAGTTAAAGAAACAGATGTCCAAACTTCAAGTAGGATCATCTTCACGTCCTCAACGGGTAATGAGATGTGATTTTTGTGCAGGTGATCATCCAAATGGACATTGCACCATCTCTAAACCAGATCAGGAGGAGGAAGTGAATTACATGAACAATCCAGGAAGGCAAGGGAATTTCTCTGGCAATTATAATCAGAATCAAGGCTGGAGAAATAATCAAAATCAGTATTCTGGGTGGAAGCAAGAAGCAGGGCCATCACCAAGGCAACCTCCACAAAAGCCATATCAAAATCAACCTTCTTATCAACCGGATAGGCTATCAAAAATGGAGGAAGCTCTTATGTAGTTTATGCAGGTTTCCACAACCAATCAGAAAAATACTGAAGCTTCTATCAGAAATCTGGAAGTGCAAATAGGGTAGTTGGCTAAGCAATTGGCAGAGCAGCAAAGCAATAATTTTTCAGCCAATACACAGGTCAATCCTAAAGAGTATTGTCATTCAATCACAACCAGGAGAGGCACTGTGATAGGAAAGGGGATTGGTGATAATTTGAGAGAAAATAAAGATGAAGTGGATGAAGATAAGAGTGAAGTTGAGTTGAAAAGTGAGAAAGAGGTGGAGGTGAATAAAGAGGCAGAAAAAAAATGAGAAAAATAAAAAAGAGAGTGAAAATGATGGAAGGAAAAATGGAGTCGTGAGGGAGGAGAGTAAGCAAAAAGGGAAAGAAGTTGCTAGGCCTCCTCTTGTGAAGAATCTACCTTACCCACATGCTCCATCAAAGAAAGAAAAGGAACGTCAGTTTGCAAGGTTCCTTGATATAATCAAGAGGTTACATATCAACATACCCTTTGCAGAGGCCTTGGAACAGATGCCATCTTATGCAAGATTTATGAAGGAGCTTCTGACAAAGAAGAGAAAATTGAGTGAGGATGGAACAGTGGAGTTAGAGGCAGTTTGCAGTGCTATAATTCAAAAATCACTTCCACAAAAATCTAGAGACCCAGGGAGTTTCACTTTGCCAGACACCATTGGTAATCTTTCTGTGGGCAAGGCATTATTGGATTTAGGGTCTAGTATCAACCTTATGCCCTTATCTATGTTACAGATGATAGGAGATGTGGAGGTGAGACCTACCAGGATGACTCTGCATCTAGCTGACAAATCTATTAAGTATCCTCATGGTATTGTTGAAGATCTCTTGGTTAAGGTTGATAAATTTTTCTTTCTAGTTGATTTTGTTGTCATGGACATGGAAGAGGATTCTAAGGTTCCTCTCATTCTGAGTCGGCCATTCATGAAGACAGCTAAGGTCATTATAGATGTTGATGATGGAAAACTCAAGGTCAGGGTGCATGGTGATGAGGTGAATTTTAATATTTTTGAAGTTATGAAACACCCAAATGACAAGAAAGATTGTTTTAGAGTGGATGTGATGGATGAAGTGTGTTTGGAAGCTGGAAGAAAATTCTCATTGGACACACCAGTAGAGAAGGCATTAAATTTTGATATGAAAGTTGTAGGTGAAAAGAGGAAGTTGCAACTTCATGAACTTGAAGAAATGTGTTTGCAGGCTTATGAATCCTCAAAAACTTACAAGAATAAAGGGAAGTCCTATCATGGTAGGAAAATTGTGTGGAGAAACTTCCAACCAGGCCAACAAGTATTATTG